ACAAAATCCTATGCTCATCATCACTCGAATCAGAATTACAAGCATTGTTGATAGGATTGAAAATTGTTCAACAATTCCACCTATATCCACTACAGATAAAAACAAATTCTCAGGTAATGCAAAGAGTCTTGCACGCAGGGACTGATCTTTACTTACTTGTTATTTTGGACTCCAGGTCATTACTGATAATGCTAGGACATTCAGAGCTCCAGCATATTTACCGTGAAGCCAACACTGTAGCGGATCTACTTGCTAAGCATGGCATGACCTTAGCTCCTTGCGCAGGTCATCAACGTCGTCATACTCTACACTATGAAGAACCTCTCTTTATGCTTTACTTGCTTTCAATAATGACTGTTCCGGATCTTGTATAGCCAGAACAGTCCCCAGTGTAAAAACTCTACTATTTGTCTTTCTTAAGTTTTAATAAATATCTGTATTAGCAACAAAGAATACATAAAAAAGAGTTTTTGATAAAATGAACAGTTCAGAAGTAGGTACTTTAGTAGAAGCAGATCCATGATTTTAATACGTTGGTTTCAACTTTAATTTCTTACAATGAGTCCATTTTATATTAGAAATTAGGGAATATATATATGTATATATAGCTTTTGCTACATTTACGATGTACTTTGAGTGAAATGAGGTAGTTAAAATATATAAACCTCACAAAGGATATGATTAAAGGAGTCGTACCGGTATGTGAATAATATTAGAAAATATAAAAGAGTTTTCCACAATCATGAATTTACAGCAGCGACTGGCATGACACATGTATATTTGTCTCCCCTAATTACGAATGCGCAAACTAGCAAAATACAAAATGAAGTCACATGATGTATGCTATTTGTTGACAATATATACTCTGCTAATTGACAAAACGAGCAATAGTATAAACCAAAAGCTTGAACTATTAAGAAATGCTCAAGAAAGAGTGATTTTAGAATAAGTTGAAGATTGAAGATGAGGTCAACATAAGAAGAGTGATGTTGAAATGAGATTAGACGAGATTGTGGCACTTAAAAGCAAATAATGTGAATATCTACGCTCAATGCTCCAAGAAAATTTTATGATAAGTGAAGATACTACATATAGAGTCAAAATATGATGGTTGAAATTGAGAAGTGCTACCGAAGAGTTACCGGATAATAGGACATCGATCAAAGTAAAAGCTAAGTTATACAAAACTATTATAAGATCATCAATATTATATGAGAGTAAAATATTGGGATGCTAAAGTTCAACATTCTTATTTTATTATAATGACACTCTTTTAATTACATGAATGACATGATATATTCAAGATCACATGATTTTAAAGATATTTCTAATATGTTTGCATACTTAGATCATGTGTCGAAATCTAAATTTTTAAAATTATATATCGAGTCAAACACGATCGTATTAAAAAGAAAAGGAGAATGTTATTTGTATCGTCAGTCGAAAGTCATAAACTGTATAGAACCACACATAAGATAAAGGAAGCTTCTATAGCGAGTGCAAAAGCAAATAGAGGCTTTCTGTGCTGCCTTCTAGAACCTTCGACGATTACATGTCATATTCTCAAATACGAGGATTTTGCGCTGTCAAGGGCAAAGGTCCTTTGAGAAAAACATATTTCTCAAAGAGCCAAGATAATTTTGCTGACGTAAAGTGAACTTCTTCAGTATTACGTGGCTCACCCAACTCAGATGGTGCCACACGTGGCATACATTCTGGCTAACCTTGTATTACGTTACTGATCCAGCTCGCACAGCCAACCAAAACAAATTAATGGTGTATATCTAGTATAGTAGTATATTACATATCTGGAGTTTATCTAGTATATAATATATTATATTGTAATTAGTAAAAATTTTCACGCTTCGCAGCGGTTGTAATAGTAATAAGAGTTAACTTACCAAATTTTATGATTTTTTTGAGATAAAATTTTAATTTGTATGCAGACAAATTAAATTCTATGAATTAAGCTAATAACAAAAAAAAAATTTACTTCATCGAGGTGATCAACTTGCCTGAGGGTGTTACTTACCTCACTTAATTAAAGTGCAAATTTTTGAGCATTGGCTTGACAATATTGCTGAAGTAGTTTACCTCTTTAATCAACTGTGAAGGTATCGCTTATACACATGTTTAATAGGTTCAACCATATAAAACGTATATACTAAAAAGAATTTTAATCAACTTGCTGATTTGGTTATTTAAGAATATTTCAAGCAAGTGTAGATGAACTAAGATCGTATGACGTAAGCCATTTAACCTTCCCTTCCTAATTAAAGATCGTATAAATATGATAAGAATTACATTTATTAGTAAATGTATGAGAGGTTTTGGACTTTTGGGTATATGTACCTCGTCTCTCCTTCATTTCATGTTCAAATGTTATTAAAAATAATAACACGCATTATTATTATTTATTATATGCAGTCGTATTTAGTTACTTTAAAATGCAGAAGAAAATACGTTAATATTCTATTATTGATATATTAAAATGCAATAAACAGGAGAGACAGACTTAGTATAGTAGGTTTTTACATTCTTACTTTGTTTAAAAATAAAGCTAGGTGCCACCATATTCCCAATAGAATAAATTGAAGTAGTTCTCTATTGTCGAAATGAAAAGAGAAAATTTTCATATGAAAAAGAAAAGTAAAAGGTAAATCGACTTAAGTTTAGAAGATAATATTAACAATATCATATTCCGGTAATTATAACCATAAGTAAGTTGCAAAATATGAGCTTGATCCCCAAAAAAAGAGAAGAAACAATTTGTGAAACACAAAATACACCACTCTTGACCAATTACAATTAATCTTACAACCATCGAGCTATTATAAATTATCCGTGAACCATTCAATTTCCAAGTAGAACTATTCTATTTCCAAATACCATTGTGTTTTTTTTATGAATGTTTGAACAGAAGATTGTATTGCCCAATCATTAAACGCACAAAAAAAAAAAGTGACAACAAATGCACACAAACAAAATGCATGGATATTAAGATTATTTATCGGCATAAGTTATAAGTGCCTGAATTAAATTTGCCAATTCTATTGCAACTTACTCTAGGATTTCATCCCTTATGACTAGTTTTGTTCCAAAAATAATGTCCTAATACTGATGTCTTGCATCTACAAAAAAAATAGAAGATTATCATTATTTTTAATGGAGCGAACAGAAAGATAATAAAAGGTGTCTAATAACAGGAAAATAATCATTTATTCAGTATTTTTTCCTTGTAGGTTACTGTTCCATACACTGCAATTGCACAAAACCTCGGGCATTTGACATTTATGAGTTACTGGAAGAAAACGACGACAATACAAATCTATTGATTTCTTGTAGCAAAATAGAAAATAACGTAGCATCAATATTTCTAAAGGAGCAAAACACGTATATCTAATATAACAATAGAGTTTAAAGTAGAAAGCCATGAAATCCACTATAAAACCAAGCTAAAGATGAGTCTCTATATATAGTGGTGTACTATTGTTTTATGTTTAATGAGGAAGAACCCGTTCAATTCCCATATTAAGTGATGGAGCGTTTTTGTTTTCAAATTGATTGTAGAATTTTTTTAGTCATTCGTTTTAGTTTCTATAGTCATAATTTAAACCTTCCATAAATGACAATATTAAGGATGCCATAAATATGATATATGCTAAATATTCTACAGATTTTTTAGTCATCAAATAATGGATAAAAGCCAAAAAAATGAGAAAAAGGATAGAAGACTTTCTTGAGCTATAAAAGGTGTCACATCACCTTTTTAATTCCTAGCTATATATAGATAGATAGATAGATAGATAGATAGATAGATTTATTTTATAGTATCTTGTCATCTTTATTTGTTACAATAAGTAATTTATTTAAATTTTAAAGAGTACAAATTTATTTTCTAGATGAATTCACAACTTAAACTTTAAATAAGTTAAACTCGTAAGTATATATTGTATACACACTTCATTACTGTTTGACCATCAGCGCCACCTTATCAATGTTAGTGTCATTAAATATAAGTTTTATTCCTTGACGGCTAATAGAATTTCTCACAATTTGATTTGATCAAGAGGTCGTGTTTTTCATTTATACGGCCCTTAAGGAACATTAGCTAGAAAAGATTTTTGACTAGTTTACCGTTATATATGTCTTAAAATATAATCTTTTTTTATTGAATATTTATTTTATTATGTGTTATTTTTATTTCCAGGAACAATCACTATTAAAGGTAAAATGAGAAAATTAATTAATTTTGTCTTGAACTTCTAAAATGATAATAATTTAAAATAACTATTTTTAGGAATCATGACAGATAACTTGAGATGGAAGGAGTAATAAATTCAATTTTATTCGTATGATCAACAAGTTATCTAAATTCTTTTTCAAGTTAATTATCAGCTTATGGTAAATGTAAATGTTGATCTTTAATTAATATTTAAAATAAGTATCTCTCGCATACAATAACTCCGTCCATTTTAATTTATATGACACATTTTTCTTGTTAGTCCGTTTGAAAAAGAATAATAAATTTTTATATTTGATAAATAATTCAATTTTAAACTTTTTAATGTACCCTTAGTGAGAAGCTTTTATTGAGCAAATGTTATAGCATGGCAAAGTTTTTACCTCTTAAATTTTTAAGAACAATAATTCATTTATTAATTTATACTCTAAGAACTAGCAAAAGAAGCTTTTATTATAGTTGTCCGAAGTCGAAGGAGAAGCAGAAGCAGAAGCTTCCACGATCCTTCGAGAACCTCCGAGGATAACATGTCCTAAATGCTATAATGTTGCGCTGTCAAGTAGAAAGGCCCTATGACTATATTTGACTACAAAAGAATCCCAAATAGCCACGTCAATATCTGCTGACATAAGACTTCAAGTAATCAAAACTATTTCACACACGTGGCATACAATCTGGTTAACCCCGTGTGCAGTTAGTGTTCCAGCCACATCCCCAAAAAGGAAACTCTATAAATACGCACACACTCTATCCTCGTTCGACTCATCAGCACCACCTTATCCATGTCAAACATTAACTACTTGGAATTTCAGGACAATAGATTCTCTCAAGAATCTAAAGCCGTACAAGATTCTCAACTTCAAGAGAATAAAAAATGTAGCATCACCCACAAATTGACACAAGACCAAGAGTTTTACATTATGGTGTCAGCTCTCCGGCATGTGATCTGCGGCGCCGATGGAAAGACCGACGGCGAAGCAGCTCAGCTTATAAGGGAAGTTGAAAATGCAAGTGCAGCCACGTCAGCTTCCATATTGCCACGTAGGAGCATTGTGGAGCCAACTGTGTCAGCTGCCACTTATCTAGCTTGTCACATTGGGAGTAGCACTACTACTTCTTTTCACGTAAAGCGAGAGAATTTGGAGTTGCAGAAGGGAAGGAGAAGAAGGAGAAATACGAAGAAGGAATACAGAGGAGTGAGACAAAGGCCGTGGGGAAAATGGGCAGCAGAAATTAGAGACCCACATAAAGCGCAACGAGTTTGGCTTGGTACTTTTATTACTGCTGAAGAAGCTGCTAGAGCTTATGACAAGAAGGCTATAGAATTTAGAGGAGAAAAGGCCAAGACCAACTTCCCAATTTCAGAATATGCCGCCGCTGCTACTACAGTTACTGATCATAATAATAAGTTGCCAATGGTAGTGGAAGAATTACAAGTCCAAAAGGGGGTGAATAATGGAATAGTGGCAGGTGATGATAATGGTGAAAGCAATGTGCAAACTGGTGATGATTTTTGGGATACGTTGGAAGATGATGGACTTGTCAAGTGGATAACCAAAGATATGTCGCTCTGATCTTTCTATTAAGTTTATTGGTTTGTCCGCACTTTCTTTTCCTTGTTTCTCTTTTTTAAGTCTCTCTTTTTACCGCTTTTCAGCTTTTTGGGACTTGGAGTAGTAGGAAAATTATGTTGTTGGCTGGGTATGTATTGTATTTATAACTAGTAGTACTACTAGTAAAGTTGCAATTATTTCAAAAAAAATTTATGAGAAAAAGCAACAGAGGTGACTCGGATTTCTTTTTTCAATTTTTATTTTTATTAGTAAAAATCAATTTAACTTAAAAAGAGTTTTTTCTGATATTTGATTGAACATAGAGTTAAAGAAAGAAAAATTCAAAACATAAAGTAACTATACGTAAATATTTAAGTACAAATATACTACTTAGTAATTTTCTAGTGAACTGAGCCAATTTTTGTACAAGTATGCTATTAAAAATAAAGATTATATGTAGGAAAAAGGTCCGAATTTCAAGATTAGATCGGAAAAAATAGGATAACGAAGTATATAGGTTTTGGATTTTGTGAGGACGTTTGATCTTTACTTTTAACAAATTGTCTCATTAATTAACAGACGATAACTGCTATGGCCTTACTTCAGCATATTTGCAAGTACGAATCCATAGTAACGAAAATGGAATTCTTTAAAAGAGTTCACATTTTTGTCTTGATATTCCTTTCAACAGCGAGATATATCGTCTCTTTCCGCCGTCACATTCGACGTAGTAGCGCCATATCAAGAAACAAGCCATGCTCTAATCCAAACTTAATTGTCGAAAGATCCCTTTTTACTAAAACATCTGGCAAAACTTGGCAGAATTGAAATAGTGAAACTACCACCTAATAGAAACTTTACGACAAACTTAAATTTACTAAAAGATTTTTAGACGCCGCGTGAATTATGTCCAAACGCAAGCTAAATTGATGAAAAGGAGCTGAAATTTTTTGCAGATAACAGCCATGCACAGGGTTTGATTTCAAATCTCAGCAGCCAAACCACAACTTAGTAATCCATATTTCGGACAAAATTGAGAGGATCACTATAATCACCAACCAATTATCTAAGTCCAAATTAAGTTATTTTCAGAAGCCGTAAATGGAAGAAGGTACCAAAACTAGCTTGAATGTCCCACTGACAAATAAATATCTCAAAAACAGATCCTTCCCTATCAAGATCTCCAAACCATGTAATTTGCTCATCCCGTGGTTTTTGTCCCACTGACGGTTTGCTTTGCCACGTATATTTGTTTCACCTTAGTGGATGAAAAGCCCTTTTCTGCACCCAAAGACTGATTTCTGCCCTTTTCGCCATGGAAACCCATTCTGCGATGGGACCAATCATTTCCAGCCATATTTCTTTGAGACATCCCACCACCCCTGTGATAGTTATAGCCTGCAGATTGACTCTGCTGAGCAGATGTATTCTTCTGTTGGGAATGTGTTTTGAAACCACTGCTGCCCGGCTCTTTACCGTTGTTGCTAACACCGTTTCTGAGACTATCATTTTTGCCAATATCTGCATTAACACATCCAGAGGAGCTTTGACTGACATGACTCTTAGCAGAACCACTAGTAGCCCCCGACTTAGAAGAATGTACAAGACCCAATTCATCAGGAAACTGAGCTGCATTGGCATCTGTTGCCACAGTAAAACTGGGGGTACCATCAGAGGCTTCAGAAGGATGAGACTCCAAGAACCTATTAGTATTCAATGACTGATCAACAGAATGACCGTGCCCAAATTTAGAAGGCAATGCGCCTTCAGCTTGCTGCTGCAAGTGATGAGAGTTGGGAACAGAATGAAGAGGTGACGCAGGGACATGAGACCAGCGAGCTTGGACTGACATTTCAGGTGCAGACTGGGTAGAAACCAAAGCAAAGTACAATGTTATATACGAGAACTACTTGCACCAATGGATCACATAACAAAAATCTAGAGCATTACAGCAGCAGCAGCAACAACAACAACAACAAAAAAACCCAGTATAATCCCACAAAAGTGGGGTCTGGGGAAGGTAGTGTGTACGCAAACCTTACCCCTAACTAGTGAAAGTAGAGAGGTTGTTTCAGATATACCCTCGGCTCATCTAGAGCATTACAGATTCCATATTTTAAGGAGCATATCAATAAGTTCTGGCAAGTGTATTATGTAAAGAAAAACAAATATTGTGCAAAAGTTACATCCCAAGAAATGAAGACAATTTCGATTATGTCAGAATGAATCAAGTGAGAGAATAAAACATGTATTCTCCACCACAAAGGAGAGAACAATCTGTCTTTTTTACATAATACACTTGCCAGAACTTATTGATTTACTCCATTAAGTATGGAATCTGTAGGGGAAAGGTAATGTGTACGCAAACCTTACCCCTACTTGGTGAAGATAGAGAGGTTGTTTCCGATATACCATCGGCTCATCTAGAGCATACAGATTCCATATTTTAAGGAACAATTCGACATGCCCTCCTTTTTGTCTTTTTCACCCCTATCAGGGAGAAAAAGAAAAGGAAAAAGAAAATGGGGGGGGGAGGGGGGGTTGTGTGTGATCCCACAGATCAACTCACATCGCTGATGGAATCGCATTCCTTACCTGGAAGGGAGATACATCAAACATGGCCAAAGGAGAAGCCATGGGCATAATTGGTGACGCAGGGCCAAGATGCTGGATGGTAGCAGGCATATTTGATAAACTGCGCTGAGAACCAGACAAATTTACGTTATTCATATCCCCCTCAGTGATACCCATTGCGGAGGATGAGGGTGTGTGCTTCCAATCAGGCTGCTTTCCAGAAGGTAAATAAGTGGTACCCATAAAGCTCAATCCAACCTGGCCATACTGTCCAACTGGTGCAAAATGATTATAGACCACCATGTGCGGTGGACCTTGAACCCCAGGGATACCTCCAGGTGGGCCTATGAAAGGGCCGGTAAACCCTGCTGGATGACCGTAGAATGAGTCCAACGTAGAATGGCATTGCTGCCATGCACCAAGAGGACCTGAACTAGATACAGTAGCCTTCTGTGACTGTGATTGGGAGCCACCCGACTCTTTATGTGGACCAAAGGCAAAAATAGGACCACCTAACACAGGATTCATCTCATAGAAAGGAAAATGTGACGGTGGGCCACCTGAAAAATGAGATAGGATTTGGCTCGAAGAATTCTGGGGACTTGGCAGGGGCTGCCACAATGAAATCGGAGGAGTTTCAACATTGAGATCAGCAGGAAGAGATACGCTAAGAGACTCTTCTGCCCTTGATTGGCTGCTCAATTGCTGATCGCCTGCCATAACACAGACTGATTAATAAAGGTTACTGACATAACAATCAAATGATAAACAAAGCACATTGGGATATTTCAACATCCGTACCTTCAAAGGTTTTAGCTTCTGAAATAGCAGAGCCTAGTCCATTCCCGACAATTTCATCACTGCTGATAGCTGCTACAGCAACAGCAGAAGCAGCTGCTTCAGCTTCAGCCTCACAATCTTGTACATTTACACATGGATCATTTGCACGTTTGTCTTTCTCAAAGAAAAGTGTACAATCACTTTCATCTGGAGAAATATTACGGGAAATTTGTACTTCAGCTCGATTAGAACCTGGAGCTCCAATCCCATGTGAAACAACACGATTACTAGTATGAAGGACTGTTGGGGAAGTAACAGCACCTATTAAATGGTGGATTAGATTACCCGAACAATATAATCATAACTCAATAATACATACATATGATATGACAAGGAGGGTTACCAAATTGAATTTTCTCGCCTGCAAGCAGGGAGTTAATTGGGCTTGCAGCAGAAGAAAAAGATTTGTCCTTTGTTAAGATGGAAGATGATGGTAAGATGGGCTCAGTGACTGCACCACCATGAGCTCCAACAGAAGCTGCATGTGCTTCAAATCTGGCAGGGTTCATAGCCTCTTCAAGTTGGCTCTGCGACAAGGCCATAACCTATGCCAAAGTGAGTCAGAAAATTTCTCAGAGCCAATGATTGCAGCAATAATGACCCACAAAGAATATAGATCCCATAGCCAACACAGTAATAAACAAAAGATCAACGAGCAATAACACCACCAATAACTAAAGATTAAAATATGTGAATATCCAGTACCATTTATGAAAAAGCAGATGATAAAATCCAGTAACAAAATAAGACATTATTTAGCTGATGTTCAAGAAAGAAATCATGTCGGACTTCTGGCCCAATATATACCCAAATATGTTTGATACCATATCAATAATTTGGAAAAGAATAGTCACTCCATTAATTTTAGGTTTGCAAGAGGAAAACTAATAGCAGAGTGGAAAATAAGGCAGCGAACGCATATTTTGAATCGGCAGATTAGAACTGGTGAATCCCCATAAATAAAATGCTAGCACAGAAAAACTTTTGGAAGCATAGGTGCGCAATGGGACTGTGTTGTTTACTATCGACCTAGCAAATCCAGCATTAAACTTCTCATTGGACATCTCATCAAGTATAATTTGAACGACAGAAATGACAGTGATCTAACTGGAAGTGGTATCCTGACTGCATAAAACATCACAGATAATTAAGTGGACTAAAACCGACAAAAGAAAATACCTGTTGATTGATCTGTGCACTACCCCATGAGTTTAGAGGTGATGATGTAGCATTCTCTGTATTCTTCTTGCTCTCAAACATCAGGCCTGGCTCAAGGTCATCTCCACCAGCAGAAACAACACTACCAGAGGTGGTTTGGAGCAACCTGTCGAAATAAATGAATAACTTACTGATAAGCATTTCAGGAGGACAAGAAGTTCTTTTGCTATGATTGTGCCAATAGAACACACATACTTGGCAGTATAAAATTGTTTATCGGGCTGAGATCCATTGCTCCCTGAAGGAGTTCCAATTGGAGCTAGTGGCTGTGACACCACGGTAGTATATCCAGTGGACACATCCTTATAAACAGATCCGTGCGCCTCTGAAGCTATAACATCTGAATAATTATTCTTATTTTGTGGTTCTCCACCCACAGATGCAAAGATTTTATTTGGGCTAGTTGTGATTGCAATACTTTGTCTAGTCGTCCGAGGTTTGCGTGGTGGCTGAAACATGATTAAGAAAAGGTTAAGATATAACATCACATAAATATCAAAAGGTAAAAATGAATATGGATAACTCGTCAAAACCTTAGAAACACGGGATTTCGCCTTGATCTCTTTTTCTCTTTGTTCTCGCCGATCATTCAGCATTTGCCTCTTAGACCTGACTTCAATAAAGTCATCTTCATCGCTAGGTGCTTCAATGCCAGGCTGTTTAAAAACACGTACAACACCACTCTGCAATGGGGCATCAACACCCTCCTCGGATATGTTCCTTTTTAGATTTCCCTCGCCAGCGTGTGAAGTATTCTGACTTTTGTGTAGCACAGCCTTTCTGTCATCTTTGCTTGGCTTGTTACTGGAATCAACCTCATGAGAAGCAACATTTGCTGACATAGGATCAAACTCTACATTTTGCTTCGGTAGCTTACTAGAGAAGGATCCTCTCTTTGATCCACTTTTTGCAATAATCACTGCAGCAGATCTCCCACCGTGATTTAACTTTTCACCAAGACCAGAGTCATTAGAAAAAACTATGCTGGATGATTGCCTGCTATCTGAATTTTCCCGGATTCGAAACTCAGTTCGCTGAACTGTTCGACGAGGCCGTCTCTGAAATCTACTTGACTCAGAATAAGGACCATCAGAAGTTGGAAAAGATGACCTCAACCCAGAACTTTTTACAGCATACGTGAATCTTTTTCCCTTGTTGCCGTATGCTTGGCCTTGAGCCCTGCCCCCAGCATAAATTTTCTCATTAGAAACTGACTGAGTTGATGGTAGCACCGAGGACTGCTTGCCATCAGAACCCTTCACCTTAGATGGCTGCAAATGCCTATCAGCATTAGACAAGCCCTTAGCTTCAGCTTGAATAGCTGACTCTGAAATAAGCTTTCTATCACTAGCACCTGCAATCCCGGTAATGTTGGCTGTAAGAGCTTTGCTTTCTGCACTTCCTTGTGCTGGCTTACTGTCATTATGTCCTCCAGGCCTCAATACAGAAGCATGTTCTTGATTTGCTGAAAGAGATTGAACATTGTCTTTCATCACACTCAGAGTAGAAGCATCTAGAGCAGGCTGGGGAAGCACAGAACCACCGGAGTTCTGACTGGTGTTGTAATGAGCCTGCCCATTGGGCTGACCAAAAGACATTGACTGAGCAGTGATTGGCACAATCCCTTGTGAGACATTAGATGAATACCTGAGCTGACCAAATTGAAAGATGGGAGGCTGTGATGGATGTATATGGGTAAGGGATGGACCAACTGGTGGATGGAGATGAAGAGGCATTTGAATGGAACCAATTTGGATGGCTGGTACTGGAGAAGGTATTAAAGAAGGACCAGAAAACAGCCCAAACTGAAGCTTAACAGGTAAATCAGGCTGACTAGAAGATGTTAAACTTGACACACTAGTCTGACCAATAGAAGATGGAGTGCCAAGGGATGAGAAAGTTTGCTGAGCACATAGGCTAGGGCCGCAATACACATCAACGCCATCCAATAGATTTGAGGCTGCGGCACTGTGAGGTTCAGTACTCACTCTAAACTCAGATTCTTGCATAATTTTTTCAGTTCCTTGGACGCTGTCGGAGGAGCTATCCAAACTAGCCCCAGGGCGGGCCTCAACAGGATGAAGGCACTTTTCATCAACTTGAACCCCATATACAGATCCACCTTCAGAGGTTTCAGGCCTATCGAATACACTTTCTTCATTCCTTGAATTCCTCTCAAAATCATCACTTGGTATTGCAACTTCGACACCCTCATCAAAGCCCAAAACCAAGTTATCCAATTTGTGAGATGATTCTTCCTCGCCTAATTGGAGATCCTCAAATTCTTGGTTCAGGTCAGGATTCTCATCATCTGCTTCACGCACTTCATCCTCTTCCCTATAACCATCTTCATCCTCATCATACTCTTCTTGCTGCTGCAACTCACCATTATCTTCCACATTCCAGTCTTCATCCTCAATAGCAGAGATAGAACTGGAAGCCGTCTTCATGGCATCTTTTGCAGAATTATCATTTAAGAGAGCACATTCATACCCAGAAAGACTTACATTTTTTCCTTCTGCGGAAACAGATACCGAACGAGAATCTCCAGATTCATCCAATTCATCATGAGAGAGATGAGGCGGAGAGTTCGGAGGGCTTGTAACAGATAGAGAAGACTGTGAATCACACCTTGGGCTCATATCTTTATTCAGTTTTGTAACTTCTGCAAGAGTGCTCTCCTGCAGGGGAGCAACATGTTCAGATGGATGGCCACCAAGATAGCCTGTCTGCCTCGTAGAGTCACCTCCTCGATGATGAGTATAATGGCTTTCATTGTCAATAAGGTTCGACGAACCACGGTGATCGTTCATACCCCTGAAAGTTCTCTGCATAGTAGAGAGTACAGGTGGAGGAAGCACACGTGGCTGTCTCGCAGAATGCCTTGACTTACCATAGGAATAAGGTTCATCTGCTTCAGAATTTTGATATAGCCGATCTGAGTAAGGAAAGCGAGTACTGCCACGAGAACGGGCTTGCCCCCAACCAATATCACCATACCTATCTGAAAGATTATCATGAAATTCTGTGTCCATGTCCCTGTTCCTGGTGTATGGATCAGCATCCATAGGAAGGCTCCACCTATGCTCTTTCCGATGGCCAAATTCATCCGTATATCCTTCTCGTCCACCTTTGGCATAACTACCAGAAGCCAAATATCCAGCTCCTCCTGAAAAATCTTTTCGGGGAGCTGCTCTGCCTCCAGCAGATGCATCCCTTCTTGGACTATGATGACCAATATCTTGGTCCTGTAGATGCACTGATGAGCTACTTCCATTCTCAAGTGCATCCCCTCTCCACGAATTAATAGGTCTTCCTCTGTCTGGAAAATTTGAAAAATTCTCTCGAGAGGAATAGTGCTGGGAACTTACATCAGCAGATCTGCTTAAGACAGGTGTGTCAAAAGATGCTGAAGTTGTTAAACGTTCCACCATTCTTTCACTCTCATCCCAATTATCCATATCAGCTCCCCCTGAAACATCAATTTCCTTGTTCATGGCAGATATTTTGTCATCGGTGGTGACAACTAAAGTATCAGTTTTTGACCCTTCAGCCTGCCTCTTGGCTATCTTGGCCTCCAATTCCAAAAGCTTTAGTTTAGCAGCCTGCTTCCTCCTTTCTTCCTCCATGACAATCCTCCTTTTCTCTTCCTCTCTAGCAATTCTCTGCTCTTCAGCTCTTCTAACTGCATCAAGCCGCTCTTGCTCTGCCCTCCAAGAAGCTTCTCGTGCCTCATCTTCCAATTTTCGTTGACGGTCCTCCTCTTCTCTAATCAGTCTCTGTCTCTCCTCTTCCTCCCTTCGAGCTTGCTCCAATGCTCTTTCTTGTTCTTCCATAATTCGTTGTCGCTCAAGCTCTTGCATCTTTTGAACTCGTTCCAGTTCAGCCTCAAAGGATTCTCTGACAGGGTCATAGAAATCAGTCTGCTTAACCATATCCTTTTTTCTCTTGATCACCGCAGAAAGTCCTCCAGGAAAGAGATCCCTTTCATCAAATCCTGCAGATTCATAGTGTTTCAGGTATGGATCCTCTATGTATGGCCTTTCACCCCTTGAACGGGCACCTTTCTCCCTGCCCACATTCAGAACAGGATCAGTCATAGGAAGTGATTTCCCAATGGATGCAAATGAAGGTTTTGACCCAGAGTTGTTCTGAAAGCCATCACGCTTGAATCTGCTCGACAGTTCACTACCAAGGCGATCTTGAGTCATGTGCTCGACCCCTCGACTGTTGGATGATTCTGTTGCATGATTCCACCGTTGTCTGCTGTCAGTAACAAGACCCGTGTCTTTCCTTCCGTATGAATAATCCCGACTTCCAGTAAAACTTTCATCACGAGCGGTGTCCCCAAAATGTGGTGGAACATACCTGTTATCTTTCCCTAAATCTTTGTTAACAAAAGATTCCCTGGAGCTAACAACATTCCTGTCATTGGCAATGTCTGTAACTTTACCATCTCTAGGAAGGATTGAGTTCCTCCATGTGCTCCCTTCCCTCCCTTCTCTACTAGGTATTCTCACATCCCTGCTATAGGTGTCACCTCTCAGGGCATCAATGGTAAACCCATTCCCAGTCTGAGCCTCTCTAGGACCCCTCCTTTCAAATTGATTATGAGCAGTTTTATGGGGCAACACATTAGTTCGAGGCAGGTCAAAATCCCTATCCCAATAATTATCAACTTTTGAAATCCCAATATCTCTGCCCCTATCTGCAAATACGTGTCCAGTATCACGTTCATCATCAGCCCAATCAGACCTAGGATTCAACCGGACTAATGGAAGTGGCCCAGGAAAGTAATCTTCCTGCTTCCGAGGTTGATCAGCTCTACGAGAGCTGCTCAAACCATGTCTTTCAAACCCATTTTCTGCAAGGCCATTTCCAGTTGCATGACGTGAAGAGTGCCCATGAGGACGCATATCAACCACTGAACTCATGTTGTAACTGTCTCTTTGTTCGTCAGATGTTCCTTCAGCAGATAGGTGCTTCTGCTTTTGACTCAAACCATCCTTTTGCTTGTTCGCCGGTCCAGAAGAGGCAGGCAATGCAGCTTGAAGAGAAGGAAAATCCTCGCCTCTCAAAACGGAGACTTTCTCAGCAGTCAAAGGAAATGTTTTTGCAGGAACATTAACTGCAGCTCCAATTCCAGTTCCACGAGCTGAAGGGGGCATATAGGATCCACTAACCTGGTTGTTGATGCCATCAGTACTATGCCCGGTCTGATCCAAACCATCAACAACAACCTGACCATCACTTCTCACATCTTTCTCTTGCAATGCAACTGCAGCAGCAGCAGCAGCAGGCTTAGTCCAACCCATACCAGACGAGGATGGCCTCGGCCCACTCCCTTGACCACCACCTCCCAATGCCCCACCGCCCGATCCTGATAAATCAAATTTCTCATGCTCTTTCCTCAATGAAGGCAAATTCAAGGGGGGTGGAACAGATAATTTCGCCCCAATTTTCTGGGTACTCCGATGCCGGGACAGAACAACCATTCCTCCACCCCCACTACCAGGCCGACCGCGGCCCATCCCCCCGGCCTGCCCATAAGAACCACTATAAGATTTATTATCATGATGAGAAGTATGTCCATATGATTTATTCAAATTCACAGACACAAATTTGCTCCCAACGCCGCCATGATTGGCCATATCAGAACCCCACAACGCATCAAAAGTGTATATAACAATGTTTTCTCTAGCCCCCAAAAAAATGTTTATCGGCCCCCAAAATCTCACTGTAAAATGATCCAAAAAACAAAAACCCTAGGAACCCAAAAAAATGAGAGTAGTAGTAGTTTAATTGGGGATAAATTTATTATTACAGCTAATAAATCGAATAGAAGTATAGAACAGATATTGAACAGTATTACAGGCTAGATTAGGGTATGGATGCAAAGCGGGTCGGAAACGGGTTGTTGGATCAGGTGAAAATGAGCAGGCAGGATAATGAGCTTACCTCCGACGGCGTAAGATATATGACGGCGATGTTTAACGTGCGCCGCGTATAGAGATATAGAGAGAGAGAGTGAATGACGTTAGAGAAGAAGCCCTACTACTGCTCTAGTCGTCGGACAATAGAAGAGAGAGAGAGAGAGAGATCACTTCTCTTCGTTTGGAGAGAGAAAATTGGGGTGAAACAATGAGCGGAACATTAGGGATTATCGTTTTGTCTTTTCCTTTTGTTCCCCAAACTTATTATCTAATTACATTTGTCTCCACAATGTTTATTGGATTTCGTCAATGTCGGCCCTCGACTCCTTTACTTTTCGGCATAATTAAATCGATTAAATGCAAAAATTGTTATACATGTTATAAATATATTATATTATGGATGTTCATTTAGTATTCTGTTGTAAATAAGCTTCATGAAGAAGCTTATCCATATGGGACTTCGCTGTAAATATATTTATTTATTTAGTACTCTATTGGAAATAAGTCTCTTGAAGAAGCTTATCACTTCGGTACCCGGTTATGGATAAACATTACCCCGGGTAGAAGATTATTCATACCGGGTATAATAAGCTTATCTTTTCGATACTCCTTTATGGATAAACATTACCCCGGGTAGAAGATTATTCATACCGGGTATAATAAGCTTATCTTTTCGATACTCCTTTATGGATAAACATTACCCCGGGTAGAAGATTATTCATACCGGGTATAATAAGCTTATCATTTCGATACTCCGTTATGGATAAATATTACCCCCGATAGAAGATTATCCATACCGGGTATAATAAGCTTATCTTTTCGATACTCCTTTATGGATAAACATTACCCCGGTAGAAGATTATCCATACCGGGTATAATGAGCTTATTCTTTCAGTACTCTATTACGGATAAACATTACTCCCAATAGAAGATTATCTATATCTGATACAGTGAGCTTATTCTTTCAGTACTTTGTTATGTATAAACATTACCCAGTAGAAAATTATCTATACCTGGTACAATGAGCTTATCCTTTCAGTACTCCGTTATAGATAAACATTACTCTCAGTAGAAGATTATCCATATCCGGCATAGTAGCAGCTTGCAGAGCAGCTTGCAGTAGCAGTTTCCTTTCTTCTATAAATAGAAGAGATTTCAGTTCATTATGTACATCAGTTTGAATTCGAATAATATGTCAGTTTCTCTCTATACTTGTCTTTACTTTACAATCTTTATTTATAACACATTATCATCACGAGACTCTGTCATCTCGAGCAAATACTTTGAAATTATCTGAGGTACGAACTTTCTTTTTCTATATAATGTCAAATCTTTCTAAACTTGAATTTGTAGCCCTGGATATATCGGGCAAAAGCTACATTTCTTGGGTGCTTGATGCTGAAATTCATCTTGATGCGATGGGTCTGGTAGACACCATCAAGGATAAAAATCAGGCATCAAATCAAGACTGTGCCAAAGCAATGATATTCTTACGCCATCACCTTGATGAGGGCCTGAAAATGGAATATCTCACTATTAACGATCCAGTCATACTGTGAAATATTTGAAAGATAGATATAATCACCTGAAGATGATCGTTCTTCCACAGGTACGTTATGATTGGACGCATCCAAGGCTACAAGATTTTAAATCTATAAGTGAATATAATTCTGCTATGTTCAGAATTATTTCCCAATTGAAATTATGTGGTGATAATATTACTGATCATGATACGTTGGAGAAAACTTTCACCACTTTTCATGCCTCGAATATGCTCCTGCAGCAGCAATATCGAGAGATGGGATTTAAAAAGTATCCTGAACTTATCTTACATCTTCTTATAGCCGAGCAACATAATGGGCTATTAATGAAAAACCATGAAAGCCGACCTACTGGTTCTTGTCCATTCCCTAAAGTGAATGAGGCAAACTTCCACTAAGCTAGACGTGGAAGAGGTCGTGGCCCCAATCGTGGTCATGGTCGTGGTCGAGGAAGAAATTTTAATCATGATAATAATAATGCACCAAAGAGCTCTCCTCACCACCAGTAATGGAAAAGGAAGGAACAAAAGCATGAAGCGGTGCAAGCACCAAATGTAGAAAATGCATGCTATAGATGTGGAGGAAAAGGGCACTGGTCACATACCTGCCGTACGCCAAAGCACCTGGTTGAGCTTTATCAAGCCTCCCTGAAGAAGACAGAAAAAATGATGAAGCAAATTTTATTTCTGAAGATAATTTAGACTTCATGCATTTGGATGTAGCTGATTACCTTACACTCCCAGAAGGAAAAACAAGTCATGTAATCGGTGGTGTATCTGTAGAAATGTAAATATTTTAATTTTTGTTGTTTGTAATAAATAGTATGGTTATGTAATTGTTGTACATAAAGAAAAATTATGATTTGATAATGATGTTTACTATAATATATCTTATTTATGTCATTTAAAGAATATGGATAACATTATTAGATCAACTTAAACTCTAGCAGAGTTTACAAGAAATATACAACCGCCAGAAATTGTTATATTTCGTATATCTCATTGTAATTATATTAACCACTAGAAGTGGTATATGTCCATGATCACTAGAAGTGATAATTTAGGTTTTTTATGGTTACAATTGAAGATAAGCTACATATATAAATATTTTCTATATTAAATGCACGCCTCGATTCAAAGAGGTTGAAGCATCACAATTTGATGTAATTAATGCGCATTCAGATAATTATATTCGATTTCCTAAAGGATGGGAACTTTTGATAATATTAATCCATTCCCTAGAGTGAACGTGACAATATTAATAAATCTGGTAAATATGAACGCGCTATTGATGTGAATATATTACAATTCACCTCTAGAAGAAGTAAGATAATTGAGAGAATATATACTCAATATTTCGTATTTTAAATTTGCTCCTGAAGAAGTAACACATTTGAAATTACCTCCTCAAGTAGGAAAATATTATGAAGAAGAGTTTTCGTGTGCTTAAACAATTGTTTTACATTGTTTATTTGATTATGATTTTCTCTCATGATACCAGAAGTATATGAGCAATATTTGATAGTACAAAATGTATCAACAACTCCTAAAGAGCTAACTGTTTGCCTAGAAAACACATGACACTAGTAGTGTCCGATAAATATTAGATTGTGGATAATAAATGAAGGCTCTCGAAGATCTTATATACAAATATGTCATTCATATTATATGATTATGGTCAAAACATATGTTATATTAAACCTAAAGTTTACTAATACAAATGACTATCATATTGAGACTACAAATGATTGGAAGATTGAAAATCTTCATGTTTCCACAATCATAGGGGGTAAAATAATATGTATGTGAGAAGTTACCCGCCTTATTCTTCAATTTATATTATATCATGTATCACAGTAAATCAGAAGTTTACTAATGCAAAAGCAGTCACGATAAATCAGAAGTTTACTAATGCAAAAGTTTATGCCATAGTAAATCAGAAGTTTACTAAGAGATAGCACATGCCATGATAAACTTGAAGTTTTTATTTGCCATTTTTGAATGTGCTATTTAAGAATTCAGATAAGCATATATTGAAGAACTAGAAGATTCTTCAAGAATTATCCTGTGTTGCTTGTTCTCGTAATAAATTGATTATACCAACTAAAGTTGGGACTAAGACCCCTGATTCAGAAATATATAAAAGATGAATATGGGCTCATTCACCTGTCATGTGAACCACTTATAGATGCACATATGAGATGGTTACATGTATGTTTATTGCCAACCTACAGTTTGGCATTTGAGATTGCTTTCTCAATTAAGAACATAACTTTTAGATTATGAAATCAAGACAGTTCATCTTGATAATGATGGTTTATATCCAAGCTGGTTTAGCATTGAATACCTCCTACTAATGGCTAAACTATTGCTTATGAGAACAAAGTTTCATGTGTTGGTCTAAGATATTCTAAATTGCATACATCAACACTTGTATGCATCAGACCAACAATATATGATAAAGTCCTCCCCTCACAATTGATGTGTGGTATATGATTAATTTCTCTACCACAATACACAAAGATATGTTTCCCAAAGAAGATTGGGGATATATGTTAATTTTTCTAACATTTGGGAGATGGAATAAACAGCTGAAAAATATGCTATATGAATCGAATTATCATTAATATAATCCTCACTTAGAAGATAATTTAAGTCAAATCCAGAAGCATTTGCTGATCTAAAATTTTATATCATATTTCAGCTACAAATGCTCCTATTAAAATTAAAGTCCCTGAAGGATATAATTTACTGTACGCATGAAGTGTGGTAGACCAATCGGTTCCAAATGTAACAATCTTTGAAAAATGGTAGGAGCTAATGATCAAAATGATCATAATGAGGAGGAAATAAGCTCTAGAAGAGCCCACGAAATAACATTTCATGAAACTCCCGAAGAAGTTTAGGTACCTGAAAATAAAGAAAGTGATGAGATCTCAACAAGTTATGTCGCTTAAGAACTCACACAAAATGATTGTCAATGATACATTTTATACAATATAGTGCACAATATTATAAAAGATTGTGAGGATCGGACCAGCAGTCCAGACACTTGAAGATGCCATACCATTTAGATACAAGTCTTAATCTATATGACTTATTTGATTAAATCAATATGAAGATCCTTGAAGGATTGAAAATGCTTGAAGCATATAATTCAAAATCTTGAGAAATGTACTCGATCAAACTATAAATATCTTTGTACGGTTTAAAGTAATCAGTGCGCGTGTGGTATAATCGCCTTAGTAAATATTTGTTGAAAGAAGATTACATAAATGGTGTTATTTGTCCATGTATTTTTATAAAGAAAATGTCATCAGCATTTGTTATACTTGTTGTTTATGTTGATGACATAAAATTTGTTGGAACTCCAGAAGAGCTCCAAAAGGCAATTGAATATCTTAAGAAAGAATTTGAGATGAAAGAACTTGGAAAAATAAAAATTTGTCTTTGGTCTGTAAATTGAATATTTAGCAGACGAGATCTCTATCCATCAATTTGCCTATACATAAGGGGTCTTTAAACGTTTTTCATGGACAAAGCGCACCCATTAAGTACATCAATGGGTATTCGATCACTTGAAGTGAATAAGGATCCGTTCCGACCTCCAGAAGAGGACGATGAACTCCTTGGTCCTAAAATACTCTATCTCAATGTAATTATTATGCATTTATAGGTGGTGCAGA